GACAGCATGGTCAGTCAGGAAAGGAATGAGAGAAAAGACATGACTTTAACTGACACTTTTCACATACCAAGAGGAAAGGCTTCCAGAAATTCAAATTCTAAAGAAAGATTCACCACACAAAAATGAAAGTCTGCTCGATGATGTTTTGCTGCATCAAAAATGGACATGAAAACTGAGCATGAGCACAAGCATTTTAGATAGAATAGTGCTGTCACCCACTGTTAAGATGTAAGGGCACGATATAGAAAGGTGGCGACGAGCTCTAAGTGCAAGATTCTAAACACTTTTTTAAAACCAAGGAAGCTGTAAGAAGCGATTTAGGGACTAGGTATGGGAAATGAATAAACACAAAACTGACAAGTGACCTTTGGGAAAAGAAATTAAGACTTTGGAATGAGATTGTCCCGTTACTACTACTACTATTTTTTATTATTATTGAGGCTTGCTTTACCCATTCCAATGTCTCTCTACACATAGCCTTTTGAGCTGTTTCTCAAACACATCATGCTTGATAACACAGGTGACATAATGTGTGAACCAGCAACTATTTCAGCAATTGCACAGTATCCCACAAAGTACATGCAACTGCCTCCCCGAGGACAGCTGGAAGCATTGCCATGTTGTACAGATGCTCTGGAGCATGCCAAGTAGGTATGAATTGTCCCTCTGAGATGCAGTCACATGGCTGTTATGAGTTATGATGTCTCCGTCTCCTATGACTGAAAACTGCTTTGTACAAACACAGCAAAGAGTGAGAAGGCTACCCAGGCAAACACACAGTGAGTAAGCTCTGCACCTCAACCTGATCATCTGTCCTTCTGCATAAAGCTTTTGTTTAAATCGGTGCTCAAGAGCGTACAGCAGCAGTCCCCAAACACAGTTTCATGGCACATGTAAACAAGTAAAAGAAGAAAACTAAAACTCTGAGCATGTGCAGAATACCTCCTGCTGCCAAGTTTCCACAGTTTGCCTGCACATACCTAAAAGTATAGGAGTAAGGCTTGCAGTTACTGTTCAGATGAATTGTGCCCCGAGTGTTGCCACAGAGGATATGTTTCAGAACAGATTTTTAAACATTTTACTCTAAATGTGTGCCGTATTCAGAGTGAGAACTCAGCCCATCAGTATCCTGAGACACCCTCCTTTGAATATGCTTCCTTTATTGGGTTGAAAACAGGAGCCTACAAACCACACACTTTGGAAATTGCAGGTCTGATCTGCCGCATGGATGGGCAGAGCAAATGTGAAGTGGAACAATGGGACTGCAGGAACAAAATCTAGCCTGATGCCATTTATTGCAGCAATTCTTACTTTTTTACATGTGAGGTGATGCCACACCCCTACTGTTCATTTCCCTTAGGTTTCTCTGTTCCTACTCCTTTGCCTACACCGGCTTAATGGCAGGCGAGTTTGATTTCATAACTTCATCTTAGACAATGCAAAAGTTCTTACCTACTACGTTTGTTTATTATCCTGCACTTAGAAGCATCTAGTTGGATGTACGGTGCCTAGACTAATAGGCTGATCATGGACCCTCAGCCATGATATACTTATCCTTAGTCCTTGAAGACTCTGTGTGTGTACAGCATACATTATTCATCTCCACCAAGGAGTCACAGCAAGTTGGAATTTACTGATCAGTGCTTGCAGACCAGGCAATACTCCTTCCAGGCAAATCTGAAACCCAGCATCTTTCTTTTGAGCAATGAATCACTGTTTTCAACGTCAGTGCGTCTGATCTGTGAAATGGGAAATACAGTGACATGACAGGCATGCACATTTTAAAATGCATAAGGTATTCTTCAGATAATTGTAATGTGAATTATGACTCTTCTTGGTCACTTGAAAAATCAACACAGACCGAGGGTCACCCATTTTATGCAAGCTTTCGAGATTTCCAGATCTCTTAATCATGCAAGATATTATGAAAGGGGGTGGGGGAGATAAAGAACCTGCGCTTTCTAACATCGTTCCCGTAGAAGAGATCAAGATTTCTCGAAAGCTAGCAGCCTTTTGGGTGGTATTTTGTTGGCCTGATACAGGTATTCCGGATTTCCGATGTTTTATGGGTCAACACGGCCAGCTTCGCTTCGAAAGCGCATGTCTCCTGCTAGGCCGTTCGAGCCCAGCTCAGCCCAAACGACTCATCGCGCCTCGGAAATAAACGTGTGGGCTCATAGTGGCGGCGGATTTGGTGCTTAAAAAATAAAAAATACAAATCGGACATACACATTTTGGCGAGCGGTGATTCCTCCTTTTGAAAAGAGCTCCGCCGCTTCCAGCGTCGCCACGGTCGAAACGCCCAGCTCCACATCTCGCCCCTCCTTCCCTTTCACAGCCCTTCAGCCCCAGGCCGGTGCGTAGCGCCTGCACAACAATATGCCGCCCCCGCACCCCGAAGCTCCGCTGACCCTTATTTCTGGGAGGCGTTTGACAACCTCGGTTCCCTTCGCTTCGCGCGCACCAGCGACAGCCGGCAGCCCGGGCGTTTGCATAACAAAAGCCCGCCATCGCGCCGGCGCCTGGGAATGTCGTCTTGCTCCCCTCGACAGCATTTATTTGCCTAATATTTTCCAGCCTCTCCTGTGTCTATCATTTCACGCACCCATCTGCGAAACGCGCGGAGGCGAGGGGGGTAGGGGAGATTATTGATTATATGCAGGAAGGCAAACGGCGCCTTCGATCTTGCTGTTTGCAAATCCGTGCCCAGATTCCTCTTGCCTTAGGGCGATAGCTACCGCGGTTCATTCCTAGTTCGGGTGTTGGGGCCAGCCTGCCTTTTTTACCCCCCCCCCCACTCCCCACCTGCTTTTTGTAACAAACGAAGAGCTGGGGAGATCTTCCAAACTTGCCCCTTTCTTTTTTGTGGTGATCTTAGAGCCAACCTAATAAACCTTAATTGCAATATATGGATGTCTTATTGATTCGATCGTGGTATTTTGAACAGAGGTGTGCTGGCTGGGATCCTCTGCAGCGGCAGGCTTGCATCTCCTGCCCCTCTCCGTCTCCTCCCCCCGCAGACCCTCTTCCCCCCATTCTTATTTGGCCGTTGCTATGGGTTACGAGATCAAGGCCGTATCTCTCTCTACCTGACAACCCCCCCCCCCCCCCGCAGAGCCCGGGCACACACGGGGGGCGCCTGGAACACACTACAGACTCCCGGGGAGGGGGGAGGGGGAGGGAGCGAGGGAGCCACCGCTGAGCAAGCGCCCTGCACACGCCGGCAGTGCAGCGCGCGGCAACCGCCGCTGCAGGGAAAAAAGTCCAACATGCGGGGCGGAAGCGGGGAAGCGGGGGGGGGTGGAAGGAAGAGTGGATCAAGGCCCTGAGGTAAGAAAACCAGCAACTGCTGCTTCAGGTAGTGCAAAGGCTGCCCAGAGGAGCAAAGGACTGGCGGGGTGGGGGGGGGCGGGGGGGGGGGGAGGGAGCGAAGAGACGCGCCGATGCCTTGGCATTCCTTGGTTTTGCTCCTAGGGTGAAACCAGATGGTTGCTGAGTGGCTTGTGGGTGACTGTTTTTTTTTTCTTTTTTAATACACGGAGAAGTTAGCATACATGGGATGAGGTGGGGGGGGGGAAGGGGGCTCGCGAGCTCTTGGAGCCAGGGGCAACTCTAGGAAGCAAGCCTTAGATGGCAGGAACTGGCGGTATCGCCAGGTCAACTGTTAGTGGAAGGGGGGAAATCCACCTGGAGAAGCTGCCGACCAATGAGGAAGAAAGGTGTTGAGAGTTTGGGGAAGCGAGGGCGGGGAAACACTGGGGGGCACCTACTTTCCCGGTGGGCGCTGGCGTTTCATTTTTAGGATTCCGGCAGTGAAAAGGTTACTTTGAAAGGCTTTAAAAAATGGGAAGTTAGGAGACGCGTAGCCCTCACAAACTGATGTGTCTTCCCACCCAGCCGCCTCCTTCTATTTGCGTGTGTGTTATATTTGTTATTTGATGTCGAACAGAAGCAATTTTTTAAGCGATGTGCATGACAATGTCATGCAAAACCGGCACTGTTGTATCAAGCTGTGATTGGCATAAAATTATGCACAACAGTGTGCGCGTAAAATGTAATGTATAAAGGCTACAGCAGCAGCTTGGTACATTTTAGCATTTTTTAATGACTGTATATAGAATTCCTTTTCTAAGGATTCTGTGAAATGGGATCTACTCAAAAGAAGACGAATGAATTATTTCCTTTTAAAGAAGCAGATACATGTTTTTAACCATGGTGAATTCTTGAGGCCTTTGCTGAAAAGAAGCACAAATTCATTATGGATGTAATACTTTAAAATTGATTATGCAGCAAGTTTGGATGCACCATTGCTAAAACATGCAATATTATTATGGATATAAAATTTGATGAGTTTTGCTAGTAGGAGTGTAACTACCAACAACCAAAGGACTTTAGATTTTTGGTAAATGTAAGTGTGTGTGTATCTGTGAGTTTTTTAAACATATACAGTGACCTAACTGAAGAAGGGAAATGAGGCACAATTAAAAATGGATCAAGTGGAGTTTGTTTCTCTCAAAAGTTGTTCTAAGTAGCAGGTTGATGCATTGTTTTCAGAATGTCAAGAAAGTGTGTGAATTATTCATAAAGTGTGTACATTTTAAGATTTATCTTTCTGCTTCTCCGGCCATAAGATATAAAACAACACAATATAGAGATTCAGAACTATAAACTTGGGAAACTAGTTACCTCCCTTCTATATATTTTCTATACACAAAATGATAGTGTATTTTTAAGAATAGGGAAAGGTAGATAGGTCTGAGTTGACTTAGCAATGAATCCAAAAACAGGGAATATAATGAAGATCTTTTTAGAAAACTAGTAACACAGAACCATACATAATGACTTAGAAGTGTCCCATTGAACTCAATGGTTTACTTCTAGGAAAGTGGGAACAAGATTTCAGTTTAAATACTGGAGTAAATTCTCATGAACAAAACACTGCAAATATAAAAGTAAACCAAATAACAGCTTCTCACATTTAAAGACTAGGAAACACTAAGTTACATAGAGAATACTTTATCTTGAAATGTGACAAAATACAAACAATTTTACAGATAATAAACAGTAGAACACAAGCAATAGTCAGCATTTAGGTACATCAGTATTTGGTGTACAAAAAACATTCATGAAAAAGACATATAATGTAATCCTGGAAGCAAAGCCCGTAGAACTCATTGGGTCTTACCTCTGAGTAGGCATGTGTGAAAGGCAGTTGCCCAACATACAGGAATAACATACTGGAACAATGTGTTATTTATATAAGGTGTGATAAAGCTGACAGCACTGTAACTATTACAAATCCAGCAATTCATATCTGAATTTGGATGATCTGAGATAACCTTTGACTGAAAAGTTGAGCTAAAGCCTTCCATTTGCTATACTTCTCGGTTCTTAGGCTGAAATAACTAAATCATTTACTCCCGAGTAGGCATCGAGGGAGTGACATCACACCGGTATTAAAGAGATCTTTAGGCTTTGTATACTGAATATCAGCAGGCTACTGAATTTAAAGTGCACAAATTGCTTCAGACTAACAGTAACAGTAACAAGCACAGATACGAATAATTTTAAAGTAAACAGTTACATCTTATTCCAGTTCCTTCTTTCTCAGTTCCTGTTTCAGGCAGCATTTTTGTCGCAGATCTTTTGTTCATTTTACAATAACAATTACAACCATAGGCTTACTTACAGATTTAATTAAATTTCTTACAGTTACCTAAACATGTATCTCTTTCAGTGATTAGGATTAGATTTGTATGTATGTACAATTAAGCCCAAAGGTGAGCAGCAAGATTCTTTGATGTGTAAATGGGACATCAACAAAAAAGACCATTGGCTGAAAGTATTTACTTGCTCTCTCTCTCCAACTTTACTCCATTCCTTAAGAAAAATTAACCTGATTTGAGTAGTAGTTTTCTTAGGAAATACATGTTTGGGTGGGGTTCCAGTGAAGTTAAAGTGACTGACAAAGTTACCTTATCCTATAGTTTAAATAGTCATCTGCAAGATTCAGCTTTCATTGACCACCTTATATGTTTCTGATTACAACTGGCTATAACATCTTCTCGTACTGTTTCTCATTGCTACAACTCTGTCAAAACGTTCACTCTAAAATTCATTAAAAATATAAATGCATACTTTTAATATTGTTTCTCGGTCACAAAAAGAGCAAGGCAAACAGCAAAGTTGTCCACAGGTAGGCACACGGATGTCTGTTGAGTTCAACTGGCATTTAGCATCCCTAACCCAATTACTGGATAATAGCCTGTAACTATGTGGCTATAAGATTATACCCAACAGTTATAGTTATGGTAAAAGCTAATATTTCAACACGTTCATCAGAAAACTTATTTGGTCGCTTAGTCCGCTGGCTCCAATCCTATACACACACTTGGGAATAAGGCCCATTAAACACCATGGAATTTACTCCTGAATAAACATGCATAGTATCGCACTATGTATTGGTTAAGAGTTGTCAGATTTCTATAACATGGTGTGAGTTAGTATATCGGAAAGACAGTTGTGAAAATAAGCTAAATGAAAATACAATTTGTGAATTTTGAAAAGTTAGATAGTCTAATATAAAACATCTAAGTGCCCCCACCCCCAATCCCACCACTTCTCTCTTGCAGTGAACTCCACATAATTATGTCAAGAAATCTCATTTATTTAAGGTCTCTTGCCACAGGCAGTATTTCTATCATTGAATATTAGAAAAGCTTGAACACATGCATTGTGAATGTATGAATGAATGAACAAACAGTTTTGAAAACGGAGAAAAGACATGCCTTGACAACTGGGTGGATGGTGCATCTTTGTTACATATAACTTTCAACCATGATTGAAGTTTGGATCTGTCATTTCAGTGATAGCAATGTATAAACGATACTTCAGGCTTCTTCAGGAACTGTGCTTCCTTTACATCCGTGTGAATTGCTATCATTACTGCTGTGTCCAAGCCCTGAGGATGAACTGCAGAGAAGGGGGCGGGGGAAGAGAGAGAAAGAGAGAGGAAATTGGTTTTCACAACACACTCAAAGCCTGAGTAACAGAGGAGAACTTTAATTATCCCCAGTCACAAAAGAGAGACAGGAAATTTGGACTTTTAATTAGCCATTTGGAGTGCAGTTGGATATTTTTTTAGCGAGATAATTTAAACGCGAATAATTCAAGTCTGACTAAATGAAATTCACATAATCAGAATGCAGATAATTGAATTTCTACTGCATTCATTAATTCAGTGTGGAGGTGTATGTGAAGACTTCTATGATGAGCTGTCACAGCTCAATAAAATCTCAGTCAATTAATTTTTTCATTATCTTAGTATTGCATCAACAACAACAAAAAAGTGAAGTGTGTTTATCATCATGTCTGCATGTTTAGCAGAATGTAAGGAAGTCACCTCTCAGAATCTGAATCTGCATAATTTTCCTCTTTTTTCCTCTCTTCATCTTCTACAGGAAACCGTCGTTTCAAACAGGCAAATTCATGGATTGCTTCAGCAACAGAATATTTTGTCTGTCCGGATACACATGCTTCAATCTCTTCTGGACTCAGCTGGGTTTGTACGAAGAGGTGAAGTCTACTGTCCGAAAGCAGTAGCATATTCTGAAGGATCCTTTAAAAAAAAATCCAACATTTGAACTGCTTTCCAAGATCATTTATGCAATAATGTCTTCCTTTTATGCTACTTTTAACCTACAGCAAATGTAGTTTTGAATGCAGTATAAATACTAATGTGATTGAACATGTGTTCTCTTTATTAAATTATTTGGAATTTTAGGTGAGTAAAACATGAAGCTAATAGTTATGAACATCTGCTATAAGAATAATTCCAAGGACATTTTTTCCATTTAACCATCTGTTACTACCATGTGGATCAATTACTTTTTTGGCTGACGTGAAGTGGGGGTGGATGGGGATAACATACTATGATGGAACCTGGTTCACAAACAATAACTTTGTATACCTGTTAAAAACATTATTACAGACAAATAAGAGGAACAATAGAATTTGGAATGTGTTCAGATGCCTGTGTAAAATAAATCGTTTAACGCGCAAAGAATGTATATTTTGCAGGTTTTATTACTTGTATGTCATATGCAATTATTATTGTATCTAAACTTTATACAGGTTGGTAAACTAAAGAAATTGGGGAGCCTTTCATTTCAGTGATTTTCTTTAAAAATAATTTTAATTGCAGCATATAATTTCAAAATATAACTGTTCAATTCAGCATATGTGTAATGCAATTAAATGCGCGGAAAGCAAAAATTATATTCACCAATAGCAGCGTTTTTTCTGCAACTACAAAAGTGCAGCAGAACTATCCTGTTTGTACCATGTGGTCCAGTCATACAATCTATTTTTCCCAATCTGGTTTTGTACAACATTTTAAAAATGCACATGTACTTCATTAACTGCAGAATCAGGCCCTGAAAATACCACTCTATTTGTATTTAAATCCAAAATACCTTAGATCTTTAGGTGTTTTAATTTATATTTGTGTCCAACTTAATTTAGTTAATCATATCCTTAACTTTCTTTTGATCACAATTCAAAAACCTAAAAGGAGTTTGCCAGAGTCAACAACTACAGGACTGCAGCTTATATTTGGCAAGAATACACATTTCTGCAAGAGAAGTCATTAATTTAATATGAATAACTAAAGCTGTCCCCTGACCCTCCACCCCACCCTGAGGGATAACATCAAAGCATAGCCTGGTTCTCTGTCTCAGAATAACCACACAGAACTAAGCCTATTAAAATTAGACAAGTCTTATTAAATTCTCGCTGCTAGGGGCCAATGCATAATGCAACATCATACGCCATTAGCTATCAAAAGCCTATCAGGTCAACAGAGTTAATGCTGGAAATGTATCATACAGTAGCCATCCTCAGCCTAGCACATCCTGCCCAGCAAGACATGTTGGCCTACTGTTTCCGTCATCCCCAGCCAGCATGCCTATCCTGGCCTGGGGTGAGGGGAGTTGTATCCCAAGACATTTGGAAGGAAGGCTGTGATACAGTCAATATTTGCAGTGAGAAGTAATGAGAGCTATATGCAATACGTGAATGGGAGGACAAAAGTGAGATTATGATTGGGGAGGTACCCATTATGCCCCCCCAATGGGGAAAGGGGTGGCATCCATGCAACCCCACTTTGAGCATGGCTGTATGTGCCAGGAACATGTATTTTGAATCTTGCACTCAGAGGGGTTAAGGAAGCTTGCTTATATTTATCCTCTTCCTAAGACAGGCAGTCATTAGGGCAAGAGAACGACGATCCAGGGGAGGTAAGTAAGGTCATGAAGTTCTGCCCTCTTAAAAGCCTGTTTAGTTTACCCCACATAGTGCCTGCATGTTTCCAAGCTATTCCAGAAAACCAAGAGGGATGGGTATGCACTTTTCCCCCTCTTTAACTGAACAAGCCAAGTCTCAGGATGCAGAATGCTGAGCCAAATGATATTTTGAAGGAGAATCAGGAAATGTGCATGAATGCTCATTAGCCTCTCCTGATCTATTTTCTTGTTACATGCGCATGGAAATAAATAAGAGGGTTTTTCAGGAACTCCATGTGGCCATGAGCTCCAGTGGACTGGGCAGATTGCCCAGGCCATTTCATGTGTCACACATGGTGCTGGGCAGGGGAGACAAACATTCTCTGAATCCCAGTTGCTATTATCACCTCTTAATGAGAAAACAAATCTTTTATGCTCCCAGATATCCAAATAACTACAACTATTATTTCCTAAAAACATACCAATACTGTATTTTTATGGAGTACCTTTCTTACCACTAACAACTCAAACAATATCAACAATGGCACAATCTACCTGAAGTTACGAATTTTAAGCAGCAGTTTTACACACTCGCTGAACTCTTCCTTCAACATCACTAAGACTTTCAAAAGTACTTCAGTCTCACTACGATATGCCCCAAATGTGAACAGAAACCTTTCTTGAGAGCAGCAGTGACTTGCATGGCCTCAAACCATGATTCACACTGACTCCTGGTTTATAGGAAATTCCAAACAACAGTAACACAAAGGAATGCCACTGGAAAACGAAGTCCTGGTTCAGAATATGACTATTACCTTGATGAAGATGATGTCACACTAGTGTTCGCCTTCTCACTCTGTTCTGACCAGCAAGAAAGCTGGAATGTTTATAGTACAGACAACACTGTATTAATATTCAGAAGTCACAACAATAAAAAAATCACTACTGAATACAGCATGCATAGCATGCAGTTTTCAGCAGAGATTTTTTTAAAACAACCCTTCAGGAGTTCGTTTTATCACCCCTCCCCACAAAAAAAAAAAGCCTACGTAACTGTACATGAGATTACACTACAGTTACTGCTTTGTTGCCGTTGGAAATGTATTTTATTTTCTTTATAAAATAATGGGTAATCTTTAAAATTGATTTTTGATGGTTTGAGGCATTGCACCACAAAAGTAATGAGCACTAATGTCAATGACATTGGACAGAAATTCATTTTAGCTTTATTTTGTGTCCAGTGCAATTTTGCTAAGCCTTGAACTGCTGAAGCCCTGTGATTAACTTGCTGGTAACCTAACATATGGGAACAGCAAACAAAAGTCGTACAGGTGCAGGTTGATCAGCACCTCAAGGCTACAGTCCACCTCCCTCCCTGCAGCTATAATTCAATTTCCAATTTTATTTTACATTGGATTGATGATTTTACAGTTATTCTCTTTTCTGCTTAATAGTGCCATCTGGAGGTACGAAACAAAATGAAGAGCCCAGAAATGATAAATTAGATTTTTAACAAAACCAGGTATAGTCACCTGGAAATGCAAACAGGTCAGGCAAGAGCCAATTTGTGAACAGAAATATGGATGTTGATGGCTGTCCACCTCCTAAGAAATATGAAAACTTTAATGTCTGCCTTTTACATGAAGAGGGTCTATTACTAGAAAGATATAATTAAAATAAGAGGTACTGGTATAATCTTCATCTCACATCTGAGAAGTTAGCTTTTGGTTCCAGTATAGATCTTTGACCAATAAACCATGGTTTAATCAGTCTGAGGATGAGCCATGTGGTCTCAAGCTCCTTCCCATCCTTTCTGGGTTCTGCCTTTATATCCTGGCTTGTAAGTAGGGCTTAAGCCAGTCTGGACATTGCGGGAACGTACAATCTAACAACTAGGATAGAACTGCCAAAGCTTGGTGTGTAGCCATTTGTTTATGAGCCTGAGATCATTACATCTGAACTGGGCCTTCTCATCTAATGCTGATTAGATGGTGGTGGACTGCCAAGAGAACATCACTCTCATCTTTCACCATCTACAATGGTCAGATGCGGCCTTCAGAGCACACTTGGCAGCAGGATCCTCTGCACAGCAAAGCCCATTGATTTAAATGGGCTCAGGGAAACCTGAGTACACATAATCAGGCTGTTAAGGCACTGGTTTTCACCTCTAATCGCATGATATGCCTTAGGGTGCAATCCTATGCATGTTTAAACAGACATAAGTCCAACTGCCAGCATTTCCCATGGCTAGCTAGGGAATTCCAGGAGTTGTGGGACATGGTTCTGTCTAAACACGCATAGGACTGCAACCTTGCAGAATTCTTATGCTTCATCATTATCTTATGAAGTGCTAAAGGGCAGAGGGGTGGCAAGGAAGCTTCTGACAGCAAGTGGCCTTGGAAACATCTTAGCTTCTGTGGTTATGACACACTCCACTATGGAAACTTTCCAAACAGTAGACTATGGAAGATGTCCTCAGATGCAGAAAAACCCAAGGGGTGTGAAGCCCCAGAGCAGTGCTGCTGGAGAAACGAGTCTAAGCAGGCAAATGTGGCTGAGAAGGGGACTGTGAGAATAGATTGGGAGAGGTGGTTTTTATTAAAAGGCAGAGATGACTCAAAGTTGATGAAAGGATGGACTAATAACAATGCTCTTGGAAGGTCTAAAGACAAGAGATGCTGCATATATTGGCAGGGAGAGATGCAGACTGAGACAGAAGAGTGAAGAAATCTTGGGAAGAGGTCACAGATCCATGCCAGAGCACAAAAAAAAAAAAAAAAAAAAAGGTCCCAGACTCAAGCCCTGGCTCCTCCTGGTAGGACTAGGAAAGAATCCTGCCTGAAAGCCTAAAGAGCTACTGCCTGTCAGTATGAACAAGACTAGGTTAGATGGATCAGTGGTTTGCTACAGTACAAGGCTGTTTACGATGCCCAAGGCTGAGAGAGACAAGAGGGGAATTCAGATCATTCCAGGCACGTGTGCAAAACCTACGTGTGGAGCATTGCATGGGCTAACCTCACTGTGACTGGTTCACCCAGAGCTGGTCCCAAACCTTCCCACACCATCCATGCACGTGGGAAGAGGCTTTACACACGCACCAGTGTGTGCACACACAGCTCCATCTGTGAGGGGGAAACCGGCCCAATCGTGGAGGAGCTCCACTTGGCATCCTTTCTGACTGATACCTGCAAGGCAGGCGGAGGGCACAGCCACCAGGTGGACCAGCAGGGGAGGCTGCCTGGCGGAAGCAGAGAACAGCAGGAATCAGCGGTCCAGATAACCGCCTCAAGGAACAGGGGGTGGTGAAGTTAGGGCCTGGAGGAAGGAGATGCCAAAA